TCTCCCAATCAGCTCCAAATATTGTGCTAAATGTCGCTCCTTTTCAGAGACAGACTGAACGGCAGCCATCCTTGATTGATAACATAAAACTTAACTCAGTTCTACATATATCAATCTGGCTGCTACCAGATTATTTATCACTGGGGCTTGTACAATAAATAAGAGCAACTGAGTGTTTTTAACTTAAAAAGGCATCAGTATATCAGCAGACAGATGTGCATTTCAGTTAATTAGAACAGTATTCTTGCTTTAAGCTTATTAACAACAGCCACATTTAAGTTATAAATATAATACTTCATTTTAAAATACAAAAATGTTATCCTGTGATCCAAACAGGGAGTAGGCAATTATTGGTACCTCAACAAGGATGCAGAGCCGCAGAAGGTGCTGTATTAGCAGAATCATAGAAAGTTAGGTGGAAGGACAAAGCATGGCTGAAAAATATGCGCACAATATATCGGCCAATGTCGGTATCGGCCAATCATGGTCGCTTTTAAGCATATTGATATCGGTCCATTTAACTTGGCCAATACAAAAAATTACAAGAAATTTATTGCCATGTTTTTGCAGGTTCTGTTTTAGGGAGGGAAACAATATGAGTTGGTAGTCTTTGACGATGTCCAAAGGGTAGGTAAATATAAAATAGTGTATTTCGTGTTCATATGTGGAGCAAACAGGCCTGAACTGAACCTCACAGTAAATCATAGAAGAAAATAGAACACAGAGCTAATAATGCAGTCGTGTTGAGGGGCGCTATTGAAGTAACCTAGGCTAACTAAACACCTCAGCTGATCTAGAGGCTGTTCTCCTGCAATAAATGAACTAGTTCAACCAAAAGGGAGCTTAAACTAAGTATTAAGGGATATCCTGCAGTCTATATGCACACTTTCCAGTAGGCTGACATTTTCTTTTCTATTGGTCTTATGCAATATTCTAACTTTCATAGTAAAAGTTTGTTTTTTTATCTGCAACTCATTGTCATGCTGAAGGTAGATACCTTTGTGTAAAATGATTTGATACGAAAAGTTAATAATTAAACTTTTAACGGATGTGTGCAAACAAAGGTGGGCAGCACTAGTTAAACTCAGTGGCAA